ATGCAGTGGATGTCTCACTTTGTTTTATCATGCTACTAGTACTATTCAAGTTGGCCTTTTATTGGCGGCTGGAAGGGAGGAGGTGGGTTATTATACCCAACCGCCCTGACCTGCCTGAAGGTGTTAGGAATGTGCGAAATACATTAAATGCCAATTGCAAGCGTTCCTTGCAGTTGTAATCTTCTGCTTTATGATAGACTTAGAAATTTACACAGGACTGGTTCTTCACCAAACGGGATTTGGTGAGTTTATCAACAACACCACCATTACTGACTCAGCTACATAGAAATGAATGCGATGATGTGATTATAATACTTTTACTAAATGTGGTTGTTTGAGAGGTCTAGGCCCGGAAAAGACGTTTCTGCATCAACAATCCTTAAGCTTGGCAATGAAGCTGAGCTTACTTTGAACACCCCTAGGGTGGGTGATTCCTGTCTCGCAAAGCAGTCGCCTCTTTTCTTTGCTCGTTTGCAAGCCGCAGCTTTGTAGTGGAAAGATATTATGCCCCTACGACATTGCCTTTCGCTTACTTTGACTTCTGCCCTATCTCCTGAAGCAGTCATATTTTGGCAGCAGGCGAGAAGTAAACAATTCCTAAGGAGTATTCTTGACTAACTTTTCAATGCTCGTTTTCCAGCAATTAATCCCTTCCGCAGCGGAGCAGTTTAAACAGACATATTTCTGTAGTTCATAAGAGTAAGCTAGGTAATTTCAAATAATAGGTCTAATGGAATTTTAAATGCTCTTTTTTTTTCGGCATTGCTTTCACTACACTTCCCTGCAGGAAACTCTTGTGAAATGTGACTTTGGTGACGCAATCGCTGTTGACCTTATCTGAGGTCGAACGTTATTGGTTGATTAACTCATTTCATATTCCATGGACTTGCTGAACAGGGAGATTGGTAGCTTATCATCAACTCAAACGCAGCAGTGCACCCTTGTGCGATTTTTGTCAAATAGTGCTTGTCAGAGTATATAGCTTCCTTCGAAAGCCCAGCGCAGATGCCGGAAAAAGAAGAAATGTGTATGTCTGACTATTGAGCCATGCCCTTCTTCTGTACCTCCGACCACTTGTGAAATTTGGGATACTGAAAGCAGATGCAGATGCTGTTGCAGAGCATCTCAGGCTGGCACAGTTATGCACGTTAGAGTTTCAGTAGACTCAAGTCGGAGCAATAACGGCATAGGACTACAGTCTAGGCCAAAATAGGACTACTATTTAGTATAGAAATTATATAGAAAAGCAAAGGCATTCGAAAATTACCCTGTGCATATCAAAATTAATAGCAGCATCACCAGAGGCTTGAATGCACTGTTTGATTGCCAACAAAATAAAAGTATTCGTCTTTAGCGGCTGCTTTCAAGACAATTCTAACGTCGTTCAACATCGTGGCTATCCTATTTAACCACATAAATGAGACACCCATTTCCGCCGGCATTATGCCACGGTGGGTTGCGTTGGAAATGTTACTCTGCCGGTCAAATGCGCATTGGACCTTATCTATTAAGGCTAACAACAGACCGCATTGATACATACACACGGATTCAGGTAAGACACTGGCAGGCTTGTGCTCATCGTATTCTACACAGAAAAGGCACTTTGCTATTGCAATCAACGCATTCTGAAACCATGCCACTCCATTTATTGTATGCTTATAGGCAACGTGGATATTTTGAGGCGGATGAGCCTTCAAATACTGCAACTTCCGATCCGAAAGCCAAGAGCCTTGATTCATCGCACTCGCATGTAATGCATATTTATACAAAGATCTCAATCTCCTGGGGATAATTACACAAATATCTATGGCGATTGTTGCAAGTGTCTAGATTATAAATTTTGTGTTCCGTATGGGAGCGAATCAACACAAGTTTGATGTTAGGTTTCGTGAGATACAAGGAAAGTGATTTTGAAGGCATTTTAGAAGGACGAAACTTCACATCAAATGAGTACTTCAACCCACAATGTAGCTGCTCACCTCAAGCCAGATACTCCCAGCTCAAAAATGGGCTGAGATAGGGGAAAATAAATGACAATAATCCATCGAGAAGTGCAATAAATCCACAGTCTAGCCCTAAACATGGGTCAGTGATTACTGTGGCGTTTGAATACTCATCTTGACTCCATTTTAGATAACCACCTATGCATTGTAAGAAAGTGTGAATAGAAATGTGGCTGTTCACCTAATTCTATTAATGCTTTTACTTTCCTATCATTTGTTTTAGCTACTTCTACGCATCT